CGTGGTTGTTAAATGAATCTGGCTTCCTCCATTGACTTTGCTGGTCAGGTCGCAAAAGGGCATCACGTGACCCCAGGATGGTGCAACCGTCGTAAGTATGAATCAGTTGTCAAGTGTCTGAATTTTGGACACATAACCATGGGGATGCTGTAACGGTCATAAGTGTGAAAAACCAATCCCAACTCAGTTTTTTCAGTGCCGTTGTAACTTTGGTCACTAAATGAACTGTTGTAAGTGGAGGACTGCCTGTATTATTTCATTTGCACACATAGATAGATAAGATAAGATATGATAAGATATTTTAGGTAGATAGAGATATGATAGATATAAGATAGATATTATAGGTAGATATATGATTGATAGATAAGCGAGATAGAGACATGATAGATAGTGATATGATAGATAGATAGATAGATAGATAGATAGATAGATAGATAGATAGATAGATAAGATATTATAGGTAGATAGAGATATGATAGATAGATGATAGATAGATAGATAGATAGATAGATAGATAGATAGATAGATAGATAGATAGATAGATAGATAGATATTATAGGTAGATAGAGATATGATAGATATGATATGATAGATATTAGATAGATATTATAGGTAGATATGATTGATAGATAATATAGAGATAGACATGATAGCGATATGATAGATAGATAGATAGATAGATAGATAGATATATGATAGACGTGATATAGAGATATGACAGAGAGATATTATAGGTAGATATAATAGATAGGTGACAGATAGATAGATAGATAGATAGATAAGATATTATAGGTAGATAGAGATATGATAGCGATATGATATGATAGATATAAGATAGATATTATAGGTAGATATATGATAGATAGGATAGAGATGATAGAGACATGATAGAGAGCGATATGATAGATAGACAGATAAATAAATAGATAGATAGATAGATAGATAGACAGACAGATAGATATAGAGATATGATAGATGTGATATAGAGATGATAGAGAGATATTATAGGTAGATAGATATAATAGATAGATGACAGATAGATAGGTAGCAATATGACAGATAGACAGACATTTTATTGCCTTTTTTTTTTTTTTACTGTAGGCACACTGGCACACATTAAAAATGAAATTTAGTTGCTTGCTCCTAAAGTGTACACATACATAACACACATTGAAACATGCTATATACAACCTATGTATAAACCTACATATTTACATATAAATAGCATATAAATATCAATCACAGTCCATCTTGAATACATAACAAATACCAGCCCCAGGCCCGTAGGCCTTTCTAAGGAAGGGTCCAGGAGGAGGAGGAGGAGGCGGTTAGGGCAGCCCCAAGCCAGGCCTCCCTCCCTCCCTCACCCCGAGGTGATCACCCATCACTGCGAGGCCGAGGTAGGAAAACTGAGGGCCCTTTACGACTCGTGGACTTCACCTCCCAGCATCCCTCAGCCAGCCAGGCTGAGCCTCAGCGGCTCAAGGGATCCTGGGAGTTGAAGTCCACAGGGGGCGAAGTTGCCATAGTTTCCTCACCGCTACTTGGGAGATGGCCACGGCCACCTGGGCGGCCAAGGCGACCGCGCGAAGCGAGGCGACGCTCCCCGAAAGGCCCCGCCAGGATCGAAAAAGGGCTGAATTTGCCTCTTTCCGCGACGCCTCAGAAACCTA